GTTTTGGAGTTTTAACTCTTTTTATAAAGTTTAAATCTGAGAGCTGAGGACATGGCTCAGTCAGTAAAGTTCTTGTCAAAGGAACACTGAGGACCTGAGTTCAATCCCCAGAAACCACATTAAAAAAAAAAAAAAAGACATGGTGACAAACATATGTAATTCCAGTGATGGAGAGGTGGAGTCTGAGGCTTACTGTCCAGCCAAGCTAGACTAATTGGTGAGTCCCCAGTCTCAAAAACAAGTTAGATGGCTCCGACGGCCTGACACCAAGGTTGACCTCTGACCTCACACACATGTGCACATACATATACACACATACACACAATTTAAATCTGGCTGAAATCATTGTTTTAATATAAGAAATATTTGCTCACTTGATCTAATTTTAAATTATTTAATTAATAACCTATGAATACAATTGACTTAACAGCCAAACTTTGTCAAGTCCTAAATTTTCATATGGACTCTATTGGTCCTTAAACTTATTCCTGCATCAGAACTGGTTAAGTCATAATAGTTCTAGAATAGATTTTAATAATATATGCTTAAAATAACATTTCCATGTATGGAAATGTTACCTCATGTGTGTGATAAACTTGATATTAGCTAAGTGATTTTTAAAGTGGTTATTTCTGAACCAATTCATGAAACATGAACTGTGCTTACAGATTATTTGAAGTAGAATTGCAAATAGCTTAAGGATGTGAATACAGCAGTGGTTTTGCTCAGAACAGCAAAGGAGTTGGTTCAAAATACAAAGGCCTTTGTCAAAGATACATGGGCCACACTTCTTACATATGCCCGAGGCAATTTACACACACACACACACACACACACACACACACACACACACACACACACGATAAAGTTGATAAAGTTGGAGGGCCACTAGAATAGTATTTCCAGGGTTAGGTTTCTAATTTCAAATATATTTTGGACAAGAATTGTTGAAATGAGGGCCTTTCTATCAAAATGCCTCAAAAAAAAAAATCCAAAGTGTCAAAAAGTTTAACAAAGATACATATCTTAAGTGTCTGTTAGAAACACAAAGAAGCAGAGGCTGTACATGCTCACCGTAACACAGGAAACACATAGACCATGACAGAATGAACAAGGCAATAGGAAAAGAACACAACAGAAGAAACCCCCAGAGAAAAGCAAAGTCCTCAGAGGCAAATGCAGTGTGTCTGCAAATAAGGACTTAGCTAATTATCTTTCAAACAGCTGTCACGAAAAGAGCAGAGAAATCCTCCAGAAATCTGACTCTGGTGTGGTAAGCTTTGGCAGAAAGGAAATTAACTGTGAAGCCAAGGCGGGGGTGGTGGGGGAGATGCAGCCATTTCTACTCTACACTCTACTCTGCCCCTACAAGCAGGCTGCTTTCCTCTCTACATCTTTCTCCCTGCTACTGCAAGCTCCACATAGAGGAGCGATGGGCAGAAGGTAACCAATGAAAGACTATAATTTGTAGGACCACTGGGTGTGGTGGTCACAACGGCAATCCAGCACTCTGGAGATGGAGGTAGGAGGATGGAAAGTTGAAGGCCAGTCAGGGAGCCTGATGAAAGGGAAAGAAAAAAAGAATCCGTTCAGAGCCACGGCCTCTCCCAGCCTTAGCAACAGTGACTGCAACAGACAAGCATAGATGGAATTCTTCTGAAAAAGTAGCTGTGATTAAAGATGTTATAAGCTAAATCTTTTGTCAAATAGAAAGACGAAGGGTCTCAGAGGTGCAAAATGGGGTCTAATGGCCTAATCACCACCCAAGGAGTAGCCACTATTGGCCACAGGAAGAACTCCCCTGGCTTCCAAAGGTGACTCTGTTTTATTTTCTCTCTAAGCATCTTGGTCAAAGGTTCACTCATACTCCATTTATTTAAGATCGCAACAAGTAAAGATAAAAAATATTGACATTTTGTTTTGACTGGCCAAAGTCTTCTGCGTGTATTTATTAAAGCTGGGTTTCAAAAAGGAAACTTTTTCCTAGTCAATTTAAAAATTACTTATTTTCATTCAAAAGCAATTCTTTAGTAGGGTGTGGCAACCTGTACCTGTAACCCCAGAACTAGAGAGACTGAGAGGAGAGCATCACCCCATGTTCAAAGACAACCTGCTCTACGTTGTAAATTCTAGGTCAGCCTGGGCTACATAAAGAGACCCTGTCTCAAGAAATAAAATCCAACAAACAAAACACATAATTCACATTTCTCGTATTAGATTTTGAAAATATAGTGTTAGGTTTCAGACCTGGGACAAATGACTGAGGTGCCTATTTAACATATCAAAGCAGACCTGGCCAGCCAGTTTCCTTCTGCATGCTTCAGCCCCTACCTGTTACAGGGTCCTCCTGGCTGGCATACTCCACCCCCTATTCTGAACTCTCCAGCCCAGGGGGCTGGGCTGCTCTTCCTTAAGTGATATAACCATTTTGGTACCCACTCTCTTTTTGTACCTATGAGCCTACTGGCTGCTGCACCTGGTTCCCCTCTCTTGAGTCTCCCTTCCCCTACCCGCCCCACATGGCACAGCTCAGTCTGGTCATGTCCATTCTAGACTCTTCCAGCTCCCAGATGTCTCCCCTCCCCTCCCCTCCCCTCCCCTCTCTTCCTTCTTCCTTATTCATCTGGTGCTGAAACCTGGGAACAGTCATGTTCCTTTTCTTTTCTTTTTATTTCTTTTTTTCATCCATACAGAAAGTATAAGAAAATAAAAATCATCTACAAGCTATCATCTAGTCATAGCCATGCTCAATCTCTTCCACTTTTGTTTGCAAAATAATTTACCAATATTACAAGTAGTATCTTCCAGTGAATTTAAAGAAAACAGAAACAAGGTTGTTTTATTTAGCATTAAAATTTTGAATCAATTTTTAAAGTAAAACATCAGAACTATATACACAGATGATTCTTTTATTTATAAAAAAGATATTTAAGAGAACCCATCTATGGACAAGATCTTGAAATTTAAAGAATGGCTAATATCAAACTGACTTTTAAAAAGCAATATATTCCTATTCACCATTATCAAATAGAAATTGCAACACTTCATTCATAGTAATACACCCATTCATAGTTATACCTGGGAATACACGTGTGCAGGAAGGAGTTAACAGCAGACCTGATATTGCTATTCTTAGAAAGGTATGCACTGGGGAACTCAGCTGATTCCTGCTCTCAAATAAACTTTCCCCAGATGACAAGAGTGCCTTGCTAAGTGACACCATTTGTACTATGTGGTTTGTGCTGATTCCTGCTAACTGTAGAAAAGTGTGGAAAACTCTGGTACATGATAGGCATATGGGGTCCACACACAGTCTCTAGTGAGACTCCTGGTAGACAACACTCTGCAGGAGTTGTCACAACTTGTTGCTGGAAGAATTAAGTGTGTTCCTTGTGACTCCATGTTGTGACTTTACCCTGCCAAGAGGCTCATTAAAAGGATATTCTGAACAGAGGTGAAACATTCCATCCTGCAAGGAAGCTACTAAGCTCAAGAAGTGAACAACTCAAAGGTTTCAGGAAGTCTCCAAAACAGACCAGATTTGTTAGGTTCCCCTTTCCCAAGCAGACATACACCGTCAAGGCTGCTGAGTAGCTCTCTCAGAAAAGCTGAGCTTCCAGGAGAGGCTCAGACAAGACGAACCAGTCAATTGGCCTGGAGAAAGCAGCTGCCTAAGAGAAGCAAAGATCAGCAGAGCTACCTGGAAAAGTCTAGACCACTTGCGCTGCCTGAAAAAGACAAGTCTCCAACCTGTTGAGTTGCCTGCCTGCAGGTTGGCTGTATGTTTCAGGTTGCCAGCTTGTATGAGCTGTCACCACCCATGCTTTGGATGGGCTTTGGTGATGCAACTGTCTTTGAGCCATTCTTGTTCAGGTAACCCTCCACCTATATTCCTGTGAGTAATCCCAATAAAATTCACTGCTCCCCCCCCCCCCCACATGCAGACTTTGGTGGTATCTGTACTTTTGTCTATCATTGGTTCCCTGGCTAAATATGTAGATGTTGTAGTGTCATTAGCAGAGGTCTTTTGGAAGCTCATCTCATCCCTTGCTTCCTCTGAACTTTCCCTTTACTGACTTTGTTTTGTGTCTTTTATACACTAATGAAATGTTCCTTGTCGGTGTGTTGTATGCTGTTTTTTGGGAGTCTTACTAAAGCACTGAACTTTAGCATGTCTTGGTGACTCCCACCACAGCCTTTCTGGGAATGATGACAAAATATTCACTGGAGGACAAAAATGAATAAAGCAACTGAAGAGTTATGTCATACTTGAGTATGGAAAGGCAGCTTGCCAATCAAATATTAATTGTCAACCTAAGTCATTATGCCTGCAAGGTTAAAAAAGATAGTTCCTGAGGTATCCGTCTTAAAGTCAATATGGAGGAGTAGGGAGATAAGTTTCCAACTGTAAAGGGGAAAAACCAAGTGGTAGCATTGTCTAATCTAGCCTCAGGATCATTGTAATAATTAGCAGGGAAGAAAACTCACTGACACTTTTCTATAGAATGTGAGAACATAAATCTAAAATGTGTAAGAATAAGTAAGAGTCCAAACTGTGACAGAAATCCTGACAAGGCACACCTACCCGGTACCATTAGAAAACTATAGAAATGTAGCCAGTAAATAAGATTCATAAAAGGTTGGACATACAGGCCAATGGAACAGACTAGAAAGCTCAAGGCATAGCTACCAGAAATGGACAGCAAACAAACAAAAAGATGTTTGGTGTTACAGATCTTGGGAAAGGACTGTTAAGTGTCCTGAGATAACAGTTTACCCATACAGGAAAAGTAAGTTAAATTCCTGACCTCTGGGTATTTATAAAAACCTAGCTGAATTAAACACACACAGCAAAGTCTCTCCTTATACTGCTGAATCACGGCCAATGATCTTAATTTTATAAACTGTGCTCCCTACTAGGACCCCAAGGGCCTGTGAGCTTTTTAAAGTAGCACGCAACCTCAATTTTACACCAACTTTTAAAATAATAGGAACCTTACCTCATAGATCCTGGCAATTCCACAAAGCAGGGTCACTTCTCCTGGAAACTTATCTAAGCCTTGTTTGAATAGATTTAAAGCAGTCATGGGTTGGTCCAGTATGATATAAACCTAAAAAGCAAGATATATTTCAATAAGATTACTTCACTGTTTTTTTTTAAAATAATAGCATTTTCGTGACAAGTTTTAATTATTGATAAGGAACAAATTTTCTCCCAGAAATTAAATAATTTCCACAGACATAGATTCAAATAATGACTTTACAGTTTATCTACACATTTTATGTAAAATTTATCATCCCAAGAAATGCTTACTGTGGGGATATTATTGTCACAAAGACTGGGAAATACAAGAAAGGGTCAGGGGAACATCTCTCCACTGCCCACACCAACTCTCCACTCCCTATAAGTCCTTTTCTGACATTCACATATTTTTGTTTTGTTTCTTGGCCCACTGAATTCAACCAGGGTAGTGTGCATGACTATGGATTTCAAGTTACCCACTGGAGCTTGCAGGGCTCACCAATGGATACACAACTGAAGACAATGGCTGTCCTTTCCCTAGAATATACCAGTAGCCAAAGGTTCAGTGGGGTGGAGTATGGCCCTTTCTTCAATCCATGATTGGCTGATTTTAGGTTTAGTCTCATGCAACTGTAACTGCTATGAAATCATGATTGCAACTGGCTGTGTTATTCCAGAAGCGAGCCCTTCACAGCCCCCTTTCCCCACTTCCAGCTCTTACATTTTTCCTGCTCATAGCACACTTCTTGGAAAATTTTTTATAGATAAGCCACAATAATGTAATAACTACCACTTCATCAAATGTTTTCTTTCAAATCGGCCTTGAAGAGGCTCAGGAGGTGACTTTACTCCAATACAAGTAGAGCTTCCCTTCTCTGAAATGTTTTACACAGAAGTGTTCCTAATTTCTGATTTGGGGGGTAATCTGGAGTTTTATAGAACACAATTCTAAACATGAAATTCATTGATGTAAATTTTTTTATTTTTATGTATATGGGGTTTTGTCTGCATGTATGTTTGTCCACCTATATGTGCATGGAACTCTTGGAGGCCAAAACATGGTGTCAGATCTCTTGGAACTGGAGTTGTGTGAGCCCCCATGTGGGTGCTGGGATTGAGCTGGATCCTCTGGAAGAGCAACAAATGCTTTAACTGCTGAGCCTCTCTTCAGATTTTTTTTTCCATCTACATGTAAGACATCTTTACACACTAATTTTATTGCACCTGTGTTTTGACTGTGACATATCCCATAAATTTTCCACTTGTAGCATCCAGATTTCAGATATTCATATTAGGAATGTCCAATATGTATTGAAAAATTCTAGGTGGCCTGTGGAGTTACAAGTCAAATCATTCAACCAGTACAATGGACTTGAATGCTTACTGCTAACAGTCCAGTGACACTGATGAAAACCTGATCTCTTGCAGTCTCAAAGCACAAAGGGAAGTATAAAACCTATCCTTTACAGTTACTGTGTGTATTAAACGAATCTGCTTTTATTAACAAGCCTGCTACAATACCCTATTGTGCTCAGAGCTGAGTAACTAATGTCCTATAACACAATTTATGAAATGGTCCCTGTTCTTAGAGCAGGGCTCCATTGCACAGGCCTGGAATCTCAGCTACCCAGGAAGTTGAGGCAGGAGGATGGCAAGTTCAATGTCTGTCTGGACTATACAGTGAAGTCCTGCTTTGAAGCTTGGGTTTAGACAAAATAGATTGTAGAAATGCTTTTCTGCTACTGACAGGGCAGTGAGTCTACGGTGTTTCCTTCTGTCCTAGTAAGCATCTGTCAAAGGGATTTTCTTCTTTTTCCACAGCCTTTTCTACTCCTTGTGCCATGGGTACCCTCCATATGCTATTTTTCACTTGCTATAAAAAATAACTCTGAACATATTAACTTGCCAAATATTCCAGAAGGAACTGGCAACTTTCCCCATGCAGTGGCCAGCACCTTTTGAAGACAGTTTTCACTCAAGAATACTTACTTTCGCCAGATAGAGAAATGTGTCTACCATTTCCTGCTGCTTCAGGGCTGACTTAAACTGCTTCTCTGCTTCGCGGTACATTCCTAACCTAGAAATAGTCATTAAAAACAATCAGACATTCACTTAAAAATCAACACTGCATCATTGTTTTTTCAAACCCTGAGGATACAAACAGACACATCTTATCCTAGAGCAAGCATATACCCAAGCAGGTGATGCTTTGCTCACTGATAGTAACATGTATGTTGACAGAAGTTAGCAAAAAGCCACCTGTCTCCCATAGTTATCAGCTATCTAAGCCTCAGACCGTGTGTAAAGACTACAACCTAATTGCAACAGGAACCATCTCTCACAGGGTCATATCAGTTCACCACCACGAGAGCTTATGATCAGCTGCACATATGGCAAGTGACCTGGATAACTGTGGAGCTGCCACTTCGCTGGAAGAACTGAAGGACAGCGTTTCTTTGAAAATACCTCCTTCCCTAAGACAGCCCCTAGCCCCCTTTGGTTATCCCTATACTGTTCTAATGAAAGCAACAATCGACACTTGCACACTACAGCTAGATCATCAATTTTCTATAGGCCTTGTTTGCCTTTACCCTTAGTAGATTGCTTCCTCTGTGACTCTGAAACTTGCTCCTTGCCCAAATGACTGTCTTGATGTCAGTGTCCACCTCTGTGATCCAGGAAGCGTGGTTGCCACCAAAACATCCACCGAAGCTTTGGTGGCTTTCATTCGGCTTGTCCCTAGTAGACCTGTCATGCTTTCTGATAACTATTCATTCTTAGCAATCTATGAGCTACCTAGATATATTTTTTGTAAAATAAACTAAAAATGATTTATAATATGCTCCATTGTGCTAATTTCACATAAAGGTTGAAAAACTAGCTCTGAACATTTTTTCATGATCTAGATTTCAAACATTGGTGTAGCTGATATACTAGCAGCTGCTGGAAACACGGGATTAAAGTGATATCAGGTGGCTTCAACAGATTAGTGTAAAGTTAGGGGGCATGTGATGAGGAAGACGTCCCTTCCTCTTCAAAGGTCCCATCCATTCCACAGACTATGTGTAAAATGTTATCAAAGGAATCTAGTTTAATTGAGAAGGACGTAACAATGCAAACAGTGAGAGATACAGGAAAGCAGGCAGACTGGGACAGCAGCATTGGACTACACTAACAGTCCAAATGGAGACTCATCAAGGAACCCAACAGCAGCTGTGCGTGCACAGCTCCCCTTACAATACTTAGGAAGACTTGATGAGATGAGAGACTGGAGGCAGAAAACCCAGGAAAGAAGTTACTGAAAGAACTCAACAAAGATATTAAGTGGTTCTCAACTTGTGGGTCATGACCCCTTTGGCGGTCACATGGGTTGCATAGCACACACATATCCTGCACATCAGATATTTACATTATGACTCATAGCAGTCGAAAAATTATGGTTGTGAGTAGCAATGAAGATAATTTTATGGCTTGGGTTCACCACAACAAGAACTGTATTAAAGGGTATCAGTATTAGGAGGGTTGAGAACCACCGGAGTAAGTAATAATAAAAAATCCAGACTCCGGGCACTGGAGTGGGGTTGGGTAGTAGGAGAGGAACTTTGAGAACAGAGAGGTAGGGTCAGTAGAACGAAATGGCCAGGGACAAAGGCTGACATCTACTTCGGGCTACATCCTCTAGTAAAGCATTTTGATCTCCCCAGTTGACATCACAAGCTCATTCTCTGGGTTCCCAGTGTGCCACGCCCTTGCTTCCATAATAATAGGAATCAAGTTTCCTCACCTGAGTGAACAGCCACCTCCAGGTGTCACCAGTCTTAAGTGAGATGAAGTAACGTACACACAAGCTGGTTCTTATCTGCAGGCTACTCTACAGATGTGAGGCATTTGTGTAAGTGAGGAACTGAGAGACTGAAGTGAACACTCTGGGTTCTAGTCCCAGGTCTGTCATTAGCCAGCTCATGATGAAAGTCATAACCAAGCTCTGGCCTCAGCTTCCTTGTATGACAAGTTCTCAGGACACCAGTTCTTACTGCTGTCATGTGATGGTTCAGAAAATGTTTGCTCAAATAATCCCAAGTTGTCACTGCTTCATGAGGAGAGGTTTTTTTTTTTTTTTTCATCATCATCTATTTCATTTTTTGATGACATAAAAATATTTCCACTTGTAAGACTTTCACTAATAATGAAGATTTTACCTGTAGTAACACTTTCCGATCTGCACTTTCCACCACCAGTCCTTGTACTGAGAATGCTCTGTGGACAGGGACGCCAAATCCAAAGCCTTTGGAAAACAATTCATTTCCAATTATGAAATGCTTTTCTAATAGTAAACAGGCAGGGGGATAAATAATGAAATAAGCCACATAATTAGCATTGATCAAAACATGTATTAGAAATTAGATAGAAACTCAAGTTGCCCAAGTTCCCAGATGGCCCCACAAATTTCCCCTAAATAATCAGCTCTAGGCTACAGAGCTGACAGCAAACAGGCTGGAGGCATTGGTTGAAGGGAAGCAGATGCATAATAAATCAGAATACAATTTTCATGTACAAGGCACAAAAGGGAAATTTAAAACACTAGGATTTTACTCTCTTCTTTCTTTGTACCTACTCTCTAATGATTCAAAATGCCTCAGAACTCAGCGATGTCAAGCTATCTGTACGTAAGGTGGGCCCAGCGGTAGTCCCCATTTTAAACATAGGTGTAAAGAAAAAGGAGGACCAAATAGATAGATAGAAAAGGGGTTTGGAAGGGCAGGGGCCATTGCTCAGGGGTAGAGTATTTGCCTCTCATGCCTGATCAACCCCAGGTTCAGTCTCTGGTTACACCAGAGGAAGCGTGAAGCACTGGCTTGCTATGGAGCCTGGGGAGATGGCTTCAGCAGCAAAGTGCTTGCTGTGCAGGTATGAGATGAGAGTTCAGCTCCTCAGTCCCCAGAAAAAGCTGAGTGTGGTGCCATGTGCCTGTAACCTCCATGCTAGGGAGAACGCATGTGAATTCAGAATAAGAAAGGGGCTTTGGAGAGTGGGAGAACACAGAAGAGGCAAAGAAGTCTGAGCATTTGGGTTACTGCTGCCTTCAACGATCATAATTCTATGGCTCTGCTGTCACTTTACCTTCTAGTAATTAATATTTCCTTCAATCCCACTGTGTGTGTGTGTGTGTGAGAGAGAGAGAGAGAGAGAGAGAGAGAGAGAGAGAGAGAGAGAGAGAGAGAGAGAGAGTGCAAGTGCCTACAGACGCCAGAGACATCAGATCCCCTGGACTGGGAGTTACAGGTGGCTGTACACTTCCAGATGTGGGTGCTGGGGCCAGGAACTAAACTCTGCTCATCGACAAGAGCAGTATGTTCTCAGCCACCTCTCTGCCACAATCCCGTATCTTTGGTATCTTTTTCCTTCCAGTGTTTTTACATGCTCAGACAAGAGGTAGTCCATTAAGAATTGACATTTTTTATAGAGAGGAAGTGGAAAACCTTTTGACAGAGGAGAAAGGGAGTAAGTCTTTACACAAATTTGAAGTTCCCAGAAATCTAAAAGTTTTATAAAGATTCAGTGAATAGAACTGGAGTTATCAATTAAATGAGAATTCTATTTTTTAATATTTATTTGTCTTCCCAATGTTGGAACTGCTTTATTCTAGAGTCAGTGTTAATATAATTATGAGAGCCAACAGTTCCATTAAAAGAACACTTGGATCTTCGGTTCTATTATCTCAAAATGCATCCCTATTACTGTCCTCTTTAATATCAGCTCTCTTCTGAAATGAATGCCAGAAAAGTTCCCTCAACCTCCTATTGCAAAATTAATTACTTTTCCATGTGTTCTCTATCTCTCTTGCTCCAGGGGAGACCTCTAAATATGCAAACTTATCAAGGCATGGTGTCACCATGCTGAGACTCTAATGGACCTAAAAAATCAACATCTCTACTTGAATGCTATGGAAATTAAAATAAGCCACATACGATTTTACTTTCATGTGCTTATTTTTCTTTTTCCCTTCTAGCCAGATATAAACGTGAAGACAAAAGAGAGAGAGAGAGAGAGAGAGAGAGAGAGAGAGAGAGAGAGAGAGAGAGTGACTTCAAGTGGCATTATTTCTGGGAAACTTGTGTTTTCAGAGGGCTCCATTCAAGCATGCACTGTAAATATCTATGCACATTAACTTTGACTCAATCTTTATTAAGACCTTTTCCAGCAAATAAATCACATTCACTATCATGTTTAATATAAACAGACCTTCTACTGTTTTTAGGCAAAGCTTCCATTTGAATGATTCCTATGCACCCTGATTTCCTAAGTGCTTATGATAGGTAGCCAAGTTTGCCTTCAGATACAGTCCTGGATCAAGTCTTCCTGTGGAGGAACTGCATGTTCCTATTGGTCCAGATAAAAGAAATACAAATTGCTGAGCCAATAAAAATGGTAGGAGAGTTATCTTAAGCAATTCTTGCCCACATGAAGACTTGGGCTGGGTTAGACAAGAATACTTGTGAAGACTTCTGAAGGCCCCTGCACTCCCCCAGGGGAGACCCTTTGTGGGTCTTTGAATGAGACTGTTGCTATAGTCTCACATACTTGACACTTGCTCCCCAGTTTGTGGCACTGTTTGAGGTTTAGAAGGTGTGGCCTTGTTGGAGGCAGTATGTCACTAGAGGCCAGCTTTGAGACTCATTTCCAATTGTTCTCTCTGCTTTGTGCTCCCAGTTCAAAATGTGAGTTCTCAGCACCATTTCCAATTGTTCTCTCTGCTTTGTGCTCCCAGTTCAAAATGTGAGTTCTCAGCACCATTTCCAATTGTTCTCTCTGCTTTGTGCTCCCAGTTCAAAATGTGAGTTCTCAGCACCCTATTTCCAGCTGCCATGCCTGCCTACTGCCTCCAATCAGCCATTATGGACTCTGACCCTCTGCAACCATAAGCCAAAACAAACTCTTTCTTCTCCGAGTTGCCTTGGTCATGGTGTTCTGTCACATGAGCAGAAAAGTAGCTAATGTGCCTTCTTTCCATCTCCATTGTTCAGGAGTGTCACTGTGCTCACAAAAGGCACTGAAGAATAACTTGCTCAGGTCATTAGCTGGAGTCCTTACTTCTGACTGGTGTCAAAAATAGTTTAAGAACCAAACAAATTCCTTGTGGTAGTTGTGAATGTATTAGGAAGCCTGGCCTTGTTGGAGGAAGTGTGGCCTTGTTGGAGAAGGCTGAACAACACACACTTTTAATCCAAACCTTGAGGCTGGAGGGTACACCTTTAATCTGGGCTGCACCTTCTGTTGGAAGTGTGTTTCTGTGGGAGCTGGCTCTGAAGTCTTTTTCTCAAACTTCACTCAGTGTGACAGTCAGTTGACTTCCTGTTGCCTTTGAGTCAAGATGTAAGGACTCTCAGTTCCAGCACCATGTCTGCCTGCATGCGGCCATGCTCCTTGCCATGAAGGACTGAACCTGAACTGTAAGTGAGCTGCCTCAGTTAAATGTTTTCTTTATAAGAGTCACTGTGGTCGGGTTAGAGAGATGGCTCAGAGGTTAAGAGGTTAAGAGCACTAGCTGCTCTTCCAGAGGTCCTGAGTTCAATTCCCAGCAACCACATGGTGACTCACAACCATCCATTATGAGATTTGGTGCCCTCTACTGTTGTGCAGATATACATGTTGTATACATAATAAATAAAATCTTTAAAAAAAAAAAAAGAGTTGATATGGTCATGGCTTCTCCTCACAGCAATAGAAACCCAAATTAAGACATTCCTGTTTATAGTTTAGAGCTACTGGCATTTAAAATATTTTAAATAGTGACATAAGACCTGTATTTTTTTAATTCTGATTTATATTCTCTGTGTGCCTGTGTCTCTCTCTATGTCTCTCCCTTTCTCTTTCTTTCTCTCTGTTTCTTTGTGTCTCTTTCCATATCTCTCCCTCTATGTTTCTCTCCATCCCTGCCTCTCTCCCTCTCTGTGTGTGTGTGTGTGTGTGCATGTGCACACACGCTTGAGTGTTAAGCCAGAGGACAGCCTTGGTTCCTTGGTTATTGCCCCTCAGGTACCATCCTACCTCATTTTCTGAAGACAGAGTAAGTAGCTCATTGGAACTTGCCAAGTAGACTAGACTAGCTGGCCAGCAAGTACTCCAGGGATCCCCTGCACTGGGTTTATAAGCATGGGCCTCCATACCTAGCTTTTTCTACACTGGTTATGAGGCCTAAACTCAGGTCCTCATGCTTGTAAGGCAAGCACCTTTGGACTGAACTGACTCAAATTCTTTAACATGTACATTCATATTTAAGAATCTTTACAACTCCAAGACAGACATTCCCTGGAATCTGCCCCATCCATGCCTCTGGGCACATAGTCAATACCGCAGGTTCCAGAAAAAGGACTGGTACCCCTAGCCTCACTCCTTGATACCCTCTAGGGTAGCCTAAAGCCATGCCTCAGAACAATCTTCAGCTGCCCAAGATAAACGCCACTTGGAGCCTTAATCAGGGAAGCCTCTTTTTCCAGTGAATAGGGTGAGTGAGTTTAGGAACTGATGGCTACAAAGAATGCTGAGCCAAGGGGGTGTACAAGTGCCTGGCCCTTAACAAAACATTCATGTCATCACTTCTAAGGCTCAGGGAGCATAGTGGATGGGATGGGGGTGGGCAGGACTGTACGAGCTGTAAGACAGGGGAAAGGGCTGTGAAATGCCATGCCCTGGGCAAGCCACAATCACAAACTCACAGCTGCAGCAGACCCCTATGCTGTGTCTGCACAAGAATAGGGACATCAACAGTCAGGCATGGAGGAGGAGGGGCTCAGGGCTCTACCTCTAACTACTCACTACTGATCGGTGCCTGGGGAGAAGGAGTCATTGCCTTCAGCTGTGTGGCCCTTAGTGACCCCACCATGCTCCAGTGCAAAGTCTAACTCCAGTGATTACACAGAGGATCTTGGCTAAAATAAACAGAGAACAAAACAAACCCCAAAGTCATGAATCCAGGAAAGTGGCTGGTGGGGATGAGGGGGAGGAAGGGGAAATAATCAGAATGCATTATGTACGTATAAAAATGTATGTATAAAATGTATGTATGTATAAAAATAAGCGAGTGTGGGTTTGAGTCAGTCCCCATAGGCTCACAGATCTGAATGCTCAGTCATCAGGGAGGGGCCCTAGATGAGGGTAAGGAGCCAGGGCAACTTCCTTCTTGTTGAAGGAAATGTGTCACTGGGGGGTAGGATTCGGGGTTTCAAGGACCCCAAGCCAGACCCAATGTCTTTCTTCCTGCTGCCTGCTGATCCAGATCCAGAT